CTTTTATCTTCTGACTGTTATATTTAATAACTCTTCTTCTTCTTCTTCTTCTTCTTCTTCTTCTTCTTCTTCTTCTTCTTCTTCTTCTTCTTCTTCTTCTTCATCACAAACATGTCGATTCTTCCTCGGTGGGTGAAAATGTTCAGACAGGTCTGGAGGTTGAAGGGGACCATCATCCTGGTCTGCAGTCCGTTTGTCCTGCTGCCACTCGCAGTCGGAACCAAGGTGAGATTACACACCATCATCCTAACCTGTTAGACTTACCTTAGATTAATCTCTTAGATTAACCTTAGATTAACCAGTTGGATTAACAGCCACACTAACATTTAGAGTCGTCATTAACCAGTTTAAATCTTTATCTTTGGATTGAGGTTAACTTTCCTAAAGCAGAGAATCATTTAATTAACAGGTGAAACAACTAAGTTTGAATAAACTAATTAGAAAGACTACAATCAAATATTTATATTTAGTTAAACTGATGACTTTATGAATTAAAGCAGATTTTTGATCTCAGATCAGATTTATCAGCATCATGAACGATAATCTGAGTAATTTATTCGATAAAGGAATTCTTTATGATAAATATTTTGTTTTTCTGTCTTCATTCTGTAAACGCTGATTTATTTCTGTGACTCTGAGCTCCTTCAGGTTTATTATAAACTGTTAGTTTTTCAGTAACTTCAGCAGTTCGTTGTGTTTGTTTTCACAGAAACTTTACTCACCACTTCCTGTCACTGATTGACAAAAAAAACAAATCAGAGGCTCCTCGTCCTGTACGAGCTGATCTTTTTATTCCTTTATAAACTCAGGAGGACAGAATTCAACTCATCTAACTTCATGTTTTAAATGTTCCTTTACTCTTCTTCTTTTACCACATATTTATTTCTACACCAGTCAGCAAAACTAAGTGAAAGACATAAAAACAAAWTTTAAAAATGGAGAAAAATGAAGTTATTTTGTAAAGACCTTGGGGTCAAACATAAAACTTTAAATTCTTTATTATATAATACAAGAAAACCAGCAAAATAATGTGAAAAACCAGAAACACAAAAATAATTTTCAAATTTCAGGATAAATTAAGACTACACAATAAACCATGTAAACAAACCATTACCATAAAAATAAAGTTTAAATGAATATTAGTAGTTTCTTTGTTTTTAGTTCTGTTCTGTTTTTTAGTTGTGATCAGATAGAGACGTCAAAATATTTAGATTTTACKACAAACTGAAGAACAAATATTTTCATTTACAAAAATCCACTGAACTGGAAAACTTCTCAGAAGTTATTCAGCTGTAAAACTTTCTGGAATATTTTGGTCGCTGATGTTTCCTCATGAAGTCTTCAGTTCTGCTCAACTTTTCTCAGAATCCAGTTCTTCCTGCTGTTTCCTCTGCAGCAGGTGGATCTGAGGCCCTTTCTGTGAAATCAGGTTAATACAAACACAGTCAGCAGCTGAGCAGACTCCCTGCTGCCTCAGAGCTTCACGGATCATTTCACCTCATCTTCCCTTATCCAGAAATACAGAGTCCAACTGCAGCACAGTGCAGACAGACATGATATAAAATTATCAACGTGATGGATGGATGGATGGATGGATGGATGGATGGATGGATGGATGGATGGATGGATGGATGGATGGATGGATGTTGAATGGACAGATGATGATGGATGGATG